GTAGAGTGAATGGTGATAGAGCACAGTGGTAAATCACCACTAGGTTCAATCCTCATTACAAAAAAAGAAAGACTAGTAGTCAGGGAACCCTCCTAAACTTAGAAAAGTGTTAAAAGATGGAAATAAATATGAAAAAGTAAATTAAATAGAAGATAGCAAAACAAAAGAAAGTACAAGGAAGTAAGATTCAGATGCATCATAGTTCTCAGAAATTTATTTTAGAAGACAAACAGGTAATACTGTCAAAGCACAATATTTTCCATAATACTTTCAGAAATTCATAAAGTGTRTGTTATTCAATAACACAGTTTGTAAGAAATAATTGAACTTGCCAAGATGTACAAAATTATTTTTTTCAGAATAATGASTGCACATTAATCTTTAAAACAGTCAGTAGAAAATTGATCCCATTAAACAGTGTGATTAAGAAGCTAGGCAGGTACCAAAAAAAAAAAAAAAAAAAGAAGAAGAAGCAGCAACTAAATGATCTTAGGTAATAAAAAAAAAAAAATGGATTGTTTTTATCAATGAAAAAAGAACAAGGCAGAAACTCCAAGCAGAAGAAAATGTCTATAATAAAGTCAAGGTGTAAATAGGAACCTAAATAAATGCCATGATTTTAAGCAATTGATGAGTATAAGAAAAAGAATCCAGTTGAACTTGACATTCTTCTTTGAACATCATAGGTTCTGCATCTAATCACATACTGCTCTGYAATAAATGGTATTTACAAATCATTAGACACTTCTACAAATACATATACAGACCAATCAGCAAACAACAGACATAGAAGGGAAAAAGCAGAATCAAAGGGAAATGAGGCCAGGTGCAGTGGCTCACTCCTGTAATCCTAGCAGCTTGGAAGGCTGAATCAGCAGAATCACAGGTTCAAAGCCAGCCTCAGCAACTCGGCAAGGCCCTAAGCAACTTAGCAAGACCCTGTCTCAAATAAAAAAGGTCAGGGGATGTGGCTCAGTGGTTAAGTTCCTCAGGATTCAATCCCCAGTACCAAAAAAGAGAGAGAGTGTAAGACAGAAGACAAGAAAAGGTAGGGAAATAAAATACAAAACTCAAGTTTAAACAGTAAGACCAGAGTCATATATAGAAGAGGGAGCCAGCAACCAGTAGACAGACCAAAGGATAAAAACAAAGCAGATTAGGAACAATCCAGAAAACTGTCAAGATGACTTCATCTTACCAAAAGATTCTGTTTTATAGGACAAATACATTTTCTAATTCTGGTGTATTGTGTTGTTTACTATTGTTTGTTTTCTCAGTTTATGATTGGCATCTTGTGAATAATGATGATTTCATTGTAATAGTAACATTAAGTAGGGAAAAACAATTTATGCCCAAAACATAGATAAAACATATTTAAATACTTCCATGGCTAAGATGACCCAACATTGTAAAGAAGCCAGTTCTTCCTCATTTGTTTTTTTTTTTTTTTAATTTGGCATAATCTAATACCTATCTCCAGAAATAATCTAGAAAAATACCTCAGTCATTAAAGCACTAAAACAGTGTGACGTGATACATGAATAGACCGTTGGAACAGAGTTTAAAGTCTAGAAATAAATCATATACTTATGGAAGTTTAGCACATGATAAAGATAGCATCAGTAGAGAAAAAAACACTCTCAGTACACGATGTTGTTACAGGATAGTCATCTTGGGAGGAAATGTGTTGAATCCATACCTTTCACCATGAGCCAGGATAAATTTCAAACAGACTGAAGATCTAAATGTTTATAAAAGTGAAGGAAAAAAAGAAAACATAAAAATTAAGGGAAACATGCAGAATGTCATAAAAGAAAATCGACATGTTAAGCTACATTATAATCAGAAGTTTTGCATAGCGAAAAAAAGACATAAACTAAAAAAATTGCCACTCAATGATATAGGGCTAATTTCCCTTGAATGAGCAGAATCACAGGTTCAAAGCCAGCCTCASMAACAGCTCCTTGAAATGTATAAGAAAATGACCATTCACCCAGYAGAAAAATAGGCCAAGGAGATCAACAGAAAAGGAAATATCCTTAAATATATGTAAAGCTGCAAAATAAACATACCTAAATACTTTTCATACTGGCAGAAATCCAAAAAGGTAACACAAGCATACATTTTATCAATTAGCAAACTGAAGCTTATTGAACCAGAGGAGGCTGCCTAAGTTTACCCAGTTAATAATAGCATAAAAAACAAATGTGTCAGGGCTGGGGCTGTAGTTCAGTGGTAGAGCACTTTCCTCACACATGTGAGGCACTAGGTTCAATCCTCGGCACCACATAAAAATAAATAAATAAATAAATGGTATTGTGTCCATTTAAAAAATTAATAATAGGGGCTGGGGATGTGGCTCAAGCGGTAGCGCGCTCGCCTGGCATGCGTGCGGCCCGGGTTCGATCCTCAGCACCACATACAAACAAAGATGTTGTCTCCGCCGAGAACTAAAAAAATATATAAATATTAAAAGTTCTCTCTCTCTCTCTCTCTCTCTCTCTCTCTCTCTCTCTCTCTCTCTCTCTCTCTCTCTCTCTCTTTAAAAAAAAATAATAATAATAATAGATGTGTCTTTGATTTCTAGCCTAATGCTGAAATATTCTACTACATGTGCTTGACTCTGTGTGTTCAGTATATGATGGCATTATAGGTATTAGTTAAAGTGGCATTTTCTTTATACAAATTTTCCATTGATATAAAAGGGATCCAAACATAATAAAACTTAAAAATGTGTTCTAAATGTTATTTTGGTATCCACTCTAGCTTTATATGATCCTAATAGGGATTTTACAGAATCTTCTTGTTTTTAAAGTGTTCCTTACCTGGATTTCAGAAACCGTGCTAATACTACTAATACTATCAGATGAACAAAAATACTGCTGTGATCCTAAAACTCCAAATTGGGGTTATCCTACTCTGAATAAGGCAAAAACATGAATTTCCCTTCTAATCTCCTGACTAGCGTCAAGGGTGATCTGCAGGCTGGACATGGTAGCACACACCTATAATCTCATGGACTTGGGAGGCTGAGGCAAGAGGATCACAAATTCAAGACCAGCCTCAGCAACTTAGTAATAAAAATAAAGATAAAAATGTCTCAAACAAAGGACTGGGGATGTGGCTCAGTGGTTAAGCGCTTCTGGATTAAATTCCTAGTACCAAACAATGGGTGATCCGCATCCTATACCTGCTCTGACGCCAGCCACAGAAGAAAGCCTCCTCTAGGACACTTGGGGGCCAAAGCCCTCTGCCTCCCACACTCTCAACTCCTTCCCTTTTTCTTTTCTCATCACCATCCCCTCTCCCCTAACAAATATAACCTCTAACTAACCTCTCCTTTACTGTATTTATCTGTAAAATGCCAGTACATTGTGTTCAAGATAATTTTTTTCCAATTATTTCATGTCAAGACAAAAAAGTTATGGCTAGTGAAAAGATGTTATTTCYGATAGAAAGTTCATTTGCAAGATGGTAGTGCAGGGGGGAGTCTCATGAAAATAAAAGGGAAACCAATGAAATAGAGAAGGGGAACCAAGGGGGAGGAAGAAGATGAGAGAAAAAGAGGGGGAGAAAGTTCTTCATTTGATAGGCTGGGACCTCATCTACCCTTCCTTTCTGCTTATTTTGGTGAATAGAACAGGAGCTAAAATAAAATCTACCATAACACCAGACGTGATTAACAGTGACTCAGTATATAACTTCACTGTAGAGGAAAACATAAATAATATAATCTTGGAAGGGAAAAAAAGGGGGCCTTTAAAAGGCCTAAACAATAGTATATGAGTTTGGTAATTTCCGAAACTATGCATATTCTCATGTGCTTTGACCAAGCCAGCCCAGCACTGCTTCTTCCAGCTCCTCTCCTGGCCCTAAAATCTATTAAGGTTATGTGGCTTAAACTCAGCGGCTCTGTTTTAAAATACCCACTCAAGCTAGATGGTTCTAAATAGAACTAATGACAGCCAGAAAAGAAAGGCCTGTAGGAACTTGCTCTGACACAGAGCTAATGTCTATAAACAGATTAGTAGCAGAGAACAGAGTATCTTTCTATTGCCATAAGGTTTGTGTCTTGGCATGAAGATGAAATAAAATAATAGGAAAAAATTACCTAGTATATAGCCCATCACTACTCTGCAGATAAATAAGGTAAAGGAGAGTTTAGTCTGTCATCTCTCCATATATTTGTGTTTAATGAATCATTTTAGTAATTAAGTATTGTGCTAATGTTTGTCTCAGAGGGGAAATAATGCACAGAGTAGACTTGCAAGAAGGAATGGGTGAAAATTCTGATCTGAATTCGTCAACAAGTTTAGCAACAATGGGCAACTGAAGGGCTGAGGAGATGGCTCAGAAGTATAGTCCTTGCCTAGCATATGGAAAGATCTGGGTTCATTTCCCAGCACCACAAGAAAGAAAGTAACTGAAGCCATTTATCATTTGTAAAAGGATAAGGGAATAAAACAAGTAAACAAATCCTGAAGTATGTTTTTAAACTTACTGTTTGAACTGGTGATTAGTAGCCAAGAAAAAACTATTTGGGGTTCTTTTTTTTTTTTTCTACCATCTTCATATATGATTTCATAAGGACTTGGTATAGTTTAAAAGGGAGAAACAAATATTAAACATCTAAATAATCTAAACAACAAATGTGTAGAAAACACACCACACCAATTACCTCACAGTCTCTGGGTGTGAGATACAGGTATCACACAGGCGGATGCTCCACAGRTGATTCCAATGTGCAGACAATGTGCAGAACCATTAGAGTATAGTTGTCATACTAAAAGTAATGTCAAATYTGTGATTGTAAGATCCATGTGTGTGATGATTGTACATTAATATTTTGTTGTCTTTACAACTTTCCTCATTTATGTAGTATAATTACATCAAATATTTCTTCTACTTAAAGAAAAGTAAGTAAATATTTTAACATCAATCATTATTTGTCTCTTTGCCAAAATCATACTTGTCATTTTCTTGTTTTCGTATATCAACAGGAATTGGCAGCAATGAAACAGATTCTCATTAGTATGCGTAGTAAACAATCTGAAAACAACTTACTTCTTACTAAAACAGAATCAAAAAATCTGACAAAAAATGAGACATCAAAGACTTTGAAAATGCCTAAAGAACATGAAGACAATATATTTATACCCAAGCCAACACTCTTTGTAAGTACAATTAAAAATATGTATAATATCATTTCTGATTTTCACTAAATATATTGTAGTTAAAATTTTTCTTCTCATTCATGTTGGCTTTAAACTAATTTTAATAGTTTTATGCAAGGGCCTTGAAAGATCTGAATTCATCCTTTTTTTCAGTGTGTATCTTATCTCTCTTACAGATGATACTTGGATTTTATGTTTCTAGTTAACATATTGGACTCGCCCAGAAATTATCCTAAATGTGACACTTTCTTTCCCCCACCTCCAGGGACTAATTATAGGGGAATCAGAAATGCATTGTGTATAATGTTGTCATTTATGTAAGAATAAAAAGGCTGAAAAATAGCACCTGTTCCCTCTTATTTGTAAAATAATATATTTTGTTCTGAGTCCCTCATGAAGTATAAAACCAATCATATTAACATAAACTGAAATGCATTGTTAGGTAGAAATGTATATGCACAGAAATTAGTCAAAGAAAAAGAAATAAGTAAAGTTTGTATTAAAAGAGAAATTAAGAAATATTAAATTATATACTTAAATAATAAATGGAGATAAAAAAGCAACAGAATCAAAATAGTAACATTATTAAATATTTTACTTCTATATGGCTTCCCAGTTACGCCTTCATTTCTCAGTGATTTTTACCTTCTGAACATAGAGAATCAAAGCCAGAAAGATTTTCTCTGATATTCTGATTCAGTGAGTCTCCAAAATTTTAATTTTTAAAAAATTCCCTAGATGAGCATGACAATAAGTATGGGAACTTCTGATCTAACRCATTTCATTATACATGCAGATAATGCTACTCAACATCATGATTGTGTAACTCAACCTCCTTTTTATTTTTTTAATCTCATTTTTTAATAAATGAGAGAAAGTTGCGATCTCAATCAAATAAAGAACAGTTGTAAGGATCCACGCGGCAGTAATGGAGACTAAGCTGACAGGAAAGAGAAAGCAAGAAACTTCTGCCGACCAGCCTGGACACAAGGCAGCTCCAGGGATTCAGCAGCCCTGTCCTGGATCTTTTCCTCTGCAGTACATCAGCTTCTCTTTGTTTCTCTCCTGGTTTCTGCTTACTCACAGTTTCCACTTCCTCATTGCCTTGTTCATGGCCCTTGTCTTGAGACATCTTTCTGTGCATCCTTTCCATATCTGCTGTCTTGGAACCTAGCTTTTGCTGCATTTTTCAGGACCAAGAATCACATTGGTGCAGCTCCCCCTCACTGGGTGGTACTGTCTTTTGGGTGAGACCTCCTAAAATCATTAGTCAGCCAGCAGAATGACTGCCCTTACTGGTGAACAGGGTCGCATGGTACCAAATTTAGCTGCTTAGTGYCATTTTTTTAGGGGATTGTATGGCTAGGTTTTCCTCAGAAAGTGGGCTGGGATTATGGTGACTGTTATATTGTAATCTACAGGAAGAAGGCAGACCAAATGCATAAATAATGAGAAAATAAGCTCCAATGAAAACCACAAGATAGAGTCGAATATTTAAAACTTATCACAACTCTCCCAGCCAGGTGTGGTGGTCCACACCTGCCATCCCAACAACTCTGGAGGCTGAGACAGGAAGATTCCAACTTTGAGGCCAGTCTGGGCAACTTAAGGAGACACAATATAAAAATAAAAAGTTAGAAGGCTGGGGAGGTAAATTAGTGCTAAAGCACCCCTGGGTTCAGTCCCTAGTACCAGAGGGAAAAAAATCCCTGATCTGCTTTTCTGAACCTTCTCTGTTCCAAGCAGTAATAACCTACTCCTTTTGAACCTGCTTTTCCACATTTCTGACTTTAACTTGGTAACCTGGTTGTGATTTCCTGAAATCCCGAGTGCAGCCAGTACATGAATAAGAGTAAGATTTCCCAGTACCTCAAGATCAGGTTATGCAGTGAGGATAAAACTTAAGAAGAGTCACTATATGAAGTGTTAATTAGGTTGTTTTCATGTTTTCTTTTTGCTTATCTGCATTTTCTATTTTGTTTTCTGATAAAGTTTATTATTTTATAATAAGGGAACATTTTCAAAGAGGTTTATGAGTTTATCTGCTCTCATTAAAACTGAGAGGTGGGCTGGGGATATAGCTCAGTTGGTAGAGTGTTTGCCTCACATACACAAGGCCCTAGGTTCAATCCCCAGCACCAAAAAACAAACAAACAAAAAAACTGAGAGAGGGCTGGGGATGTGGCTCAAGCAGTAGCGCGCTCGCCCGGCATGCGTACGGCCCGGGTTCGATCCTCAGCACCACATACCAACAAAGATGTTGTGTCCGCTGAGAACTAAAAAAAAACTGAGAGGTGATACTGTAGACCTTTCAAATCAAGATTATGTACTAATGCAAAGTTATTAAGTGGACCAGGTGGTGGCACACACCTATAATCCCAGCATCTCAGGAGGCTGAGGCAGAAAGATCATGAGTTTGAGGCCAGCCTCAGCAATTAGTGAGACCCTAAGCAACTTAATGAAACCCTGTCCCAAAATTTTTTTAAAGGGGGTGGGGGGCTGAGGATGTGAATCAGTGGTAAAGAGACCCTGGATTCTATCTCTAGGACCCGTAAGAATKAGTAATGAGGTTTATATAATTAATACACTCTCAGCCTGTTTTTATCTGTAAATTAGGAGCAAATTATATGAAATTCATTCTGGACTTTCTGTTCTAAAACATTCTGTGATTCACTTTGGATATCAATTTTATGTATTTGTTTGTTTGTTTATTTATTTGCAGTGTTGGAGATTTAACCCAAGACCTCATATATACTAGACTGATCAGTTTTTTATATTCTACTGCTTAACTATACCACCAGCTCTATTTTTTATTTTGAGACAGTCATTAAGTTGCCCAGGCTGGCCTTGAACTGGCAATCCTCCTGCCTCAGCCTCCTGAGTAGCCGTGATTATTGGCATGCCCCACCACACCTGACTATCTTTTCAATATTCTCAAGTTTCCCTGACAATACTTGTATTTTCTAAATTGTTAATAACAAGGAATTTATGATGCAAGTACTTGAAATAAGATACAATCATTTCATAATCTTATGGTTTTGTGACTAAAATGGAAACATTTCTAATTTACTTCCGGATCCTTTGGCTAACATTTGTTGTTGGTATTTTTTTTAATTTGTTCTTTTTAGTTATATATGACAGTAGAGTCTATTTTGACATATTTATACAAACATGGAATATATCTTATACTAATTAGGATCCCAGTCTTGTGGATGTTCATGATGTTGAGATTCACTGTGGAGTATTCATTTGGTACATAGGAGAATTATGTCAGATTCATTCCACTGTGTTGTTGGCATTTTAATTGATATTAAATTCAAAGATAGATGAATGAGCTGGGCATAGAGGCTGAGGCTGGAAGATGGTGCGTTCAAAGCCAGCCTCAGCAATTTAGCAAGGCCCTGAGTAACTCAGTAAGATCCTGTTTCTAATTAAAATATTAAAAAGGGATGGGGATGTGGCTCAGTGGTTAAGTGCCCCTGGGCAGTACCAAAAACAAAAAAAGATGGATGAATGCACGCATTTTGTTTGGGGGGCGGGAGTGCCAGGGATTGAACCCAGGGGTACTTAACCTCTAAACTACATCCCCAGTCCTTTTTATGCTTTATTTTTGAAATAGGGTCTTTCTAAGCTCCTAAAGGCATTGCTAAGTTTCTGAGGCTGTCTTTGAACTTGCAATCCTCCTGCCTCAACCTCCCAAGTCACTGGAATTATAGGTCTGCACCACCACACCCAGCAAATGCATGCATATTTATCCATTGAAAATATGAGGGAAAAGATTTGCTCCCAAGATGTAAGCTTTCTATTCACCTCACAGATTGTTTCTTTTGCTGAGAAAAAAACTTTTTAGTTTGAGTTCATCCCATTTATTGATTCTTGATTTTAATTCTTGTGCCACAGGAGTCTTATTAAGGAAATTGGGGCCTAATCCCACATAATGGAGATTAGGGCCTCCTTTTTCTATTAGACGCAGAGTCTCTGGTTGTATTTCTAAGTCYTTGATCCATTTTGAGTTGAGTTTTGTGCATGTAAGAGATAGGAGTTTAATTTCACTTTGTTGCATACGGATTTCCAGTTTTCCCAGCACCAATTGTTGAAGAGGCTATCTTTTCTCCAATGCATGTTCTTGGCAYCTTTGTCTAATATAAGATGATTATAGTTTTGTGGGTTGGTCTCTGTGTCCTCTATTTTGTACCATTGGTCTATCAGTCTGTTTTGGTGCCAATACCATGCTGGTTTTGTTACTATTACTCTGTAGTATAGTTTAAGGTCTGGTATAGTGATGCCACCTGCTTCACTCTTCTTGCTAAGGATTACTTTAGCTATTCTGGGYCTCTTATTTTTCCAGATGAATTTCATGATTGCTTTTTCTATTTCTATGAGGAATGTCATTGGAATTTTGATCAGAATTGCATTAAATCTGTATAGTGCTTTTGGAAGTATGGTCATTTTGATAATATTAATTCTGCCTATCCAAGAGCAAAGTAGATCTTTCCATCTTCCAAGGTCTTCTTTGATTTCTTTCTTTAGGGTTCTGTAATTTTCATTATATAGATTTTTCATCTCTTTCGTTAAGTTGGACTCCCAAGTTTTTTGTTTGTTTGTTTGTTTGTTTGTTTGTTTTGAAGCTATTGAGAATGGGGTAGTTTTCCTCATTTCCCTTTCTGAGGATTTGTCACTGATATTCAGAAATGCCTTTGATTTATGGGTGTTGAAGTTAGCCAATCCCAAAAAAACAAATGCTGAATGTTTTCTTTGATATAAGGAAGTTGATTATAGTGGGGTAGGGAGAGGGAGCATAGGAGGAATACACAAGCTCTAAATAGGGCAGAGGGGTGGGAGGGGAAGGGAGGGGGCATGGGGTAATTAATGATGGTGGAATGTGATGATCATTATTATCCAAAGTACATGTATGAAGACACGAATTGGTGTGAGTATACTATGTATACAACCAGAGATATGAAAAATTGAGCTCTATATGTGTAATAAGAATTATAATA